TATTATTGTTAGATTATTATCATTAAATTAATAAATTTAAGTAAAATTTAAGTTAAATTAAATTTTTATCAATAAATTTATTTTAAATTGAAATCTCTAGTAATTAAAAAAATCAATTCATATAGAATTATTATATATGCTAGGATCAATCATTCTATCATGTGTAAAGATAATTAAAAAATAAATTTAACAAAAGGTTGAAATATTTTAAAAATATAAAAACAAATAATTGCTATTTTATAAAATATATAATATATAAATAAAAGGCATATAAAATCATATCCTATTAAGTTTGATCATGAAAATAATACAATATTCCATAAATACTTTGAACAAATATTCTTCTAATAACTTCATTGTCAATCAAAGTTAATTATTCTTCATAATATTAAATAAAACAAAAAATTACATTAGAGAAGGGGAAAAAAAAAGAAGAAAAATATAAAATGATACAAATGTGCTATATGAAAAAAGATAAAAGTATTTTTAATGTGCGTTATACAAAGATAAAATTTTATACTTAATTAGTTCAATCAACTTTTATTGACAAATGGTTGATTTAAAATTTACACTAAAATTAAACTTTCAAATCTAAAAAATTTTTGTTAAAATTGAAAAAAATATAGTTTGCGCTAATAAATTAAGCGCAGATTTTATATGAAAGGCAAAAAAAAATATATACTTTATTCGACTAATTAATTAATTACAAAAAACGAGAGACCGACATCTTTCGCACCAGACCGGTTATGTAACAAGCTTTCGTTTAATTCACATTTCAATTAAATTCGTGCTATCAATGTGAAAAGGAGAAATAAATGAAGTCGTTCATTATGAAATATTGATTTTGAAAAATTTTCCATGTTTTGAATAAAGGAATCGTTGCTAATTTCTTATCGTATTTCCGATAATTTACATTCGATCTTGTTGGGCGGGAATCGAGTAAGAAAAATATTAAAAATAACATTTTCTATCAAAAATCAGATCGTTACAAAAATTTTATTTAACTAATAATGTTTTAGATTCAAAAAATCGGGTGCATTTAATACTTGACCATTATTCGACCTATAATAACGTTTTTTTCAACTACCCGAATCTCATCTTAACCGTTTTTTCTGCTTCTCAATGAAATGCACAATGTCTGGAAGATAACAGACTAAAAATATCCGAAACAGCATCGATGATTTGTGTTACATTAATATTAATTTTAAAAATTGGATAGCAAAAATAATTTGTTCATCTAACCTTTGATTCAATTATTTAACAAGAGGCATCATCGGATTTTTGCTCATTGACAAATGAGGTCCGTTGTCAACCTTTCTTAAACCCTTAAAGATGTGCGACGATTAAATAAACGCATGCATGCAAGAAAAAAACGGTGGAGATATTTTATTAAAATGATCTAGCTGTTCACGCTATCAAGAAAAAAAAAAAGAAAAAAGGTTTATATTCGCATTAGCCAAACAATGTCTCGGGAAGAACATTGAAGTTTCCTTCGTTCAAAGCTATTTCCCATAAGAGGATAAGGAAGCTACCAATTTTGCATTTTTACTAAATGAGCTTTTGGACAATGGAGAAGGTCATATTCCTATATAATGTATGACTGATTAAATATGTCTGGTACGAAATATATTTCATGGTTATACCAAATTTAAGTTATTATCATCGTCCAAAGCTATAAAGATCATTTACATCTGTACACAATATTAATTGGTGATTTTTATTAGATGTGCGAACGCACTTTCCTATATGCCGGAAGAATTTTCAGTAGTTAAATGAACCGTCATATTAAAGTATTAAAAACGCAATAGGAATAGAGATCACACTGGTTTATCACTAGTCCATCGGCCGACCTATCACCAACATGTCACAACCTTGTCATTGACAATTCAGTTTTCCACTTGGTGATAGGATTGCTCAGCTAACGAATAAGTGATTAGATGCCCGGTTCCATCATGGCTCTAGTCACTATTTGTTTAAAAAGTATTTTGAACCAATATATATCTATATATATGTAGGTTATTTCGAGTTCAATAATTGATGTATTATCCATAACGGGATCCTTTATATTGAATCGGAGGTAAATTGGTGGTTAATAAGGAAACAAATTAAGATTTTAACAACATTTTTTTTTTTTCCATCCTCCATATTGGGGCGACATTACTATCCAGCAATCCATCTTTTTGATGATTCCATCGAAAAAAAATATCTCATTACGTAACTCCATTAGGAAGTTCCCGTAAATTTTCGGGCTACATTGCTTTTTTTAAAACTCCAGCGAGGATCTAATTTCATTGAAGTTATCAGTTAGTTTCTAAAATGAAATTCTGAAAATAGCACAATTAACCGCATCATTCGCCGCCTTATTCAAAATTAACAATCTATTCTATTACCGCATATCAAAAGTTTCTACTGCAATTAATGTTGTGAGTTAAGCTCAATACCTTGAGACCAAAGATTTACCTGTGATTCTATGGATATTTTTGGAGGAAACGGTGTTATCACCTACGAAAATATTTTTTCCCTCGTTCGTCATTTTAGCAAAGCACATAAAGAAGGAAACCTCGAACAATAAGAGAAGGTAAAGGGAAGAGGATTTTGGAAAATGCGTTTCAAAATAATTTGTTTATGCTAGTTAGTTGACAGATACATAGATATAGTATATACTGTAATATATACAGTAGACTGAAGAATTATGCCGTCGTCGAAACCTCAATCACGCAACACCTGTGCAGGTGGATCGTAATCATGATCTACTGTAGTGTAAATATTTATATCCGTGTAACATATGATGACATCTTTCTTAATAAGGTCGTTTTTTTTTTTACAAAAAAAATTAAACGTAAAAACCATGTAGCATGTACCCTTCAAAAGAACACCGTTGCCAAATAAATGCCGGCAAATTTACGTCTTCATATCGTAATAGAGATTACATTACATTACATACATTAGAAAAAATTTTATCATAAACTGAAACCTGATGCCACAAGATATTTATTAGAAATGGGTACTTACATATCAATCGCTGAATTTTTAAAATATATATTGTTGGATCACCTGAATGATTCGAATAACCTTCGACGACATCACACAATTTTTTTTTTTTACGTTAATAAACTTGACCTTTGGAAAATTGAAATGATTTCTTTTTTTAATTAAATTAATCGTTGACAAGTTAAAGGAACCAACGTTCTCCCACGCTTTGCTTTAATCGGCTTAGATTTTGAAGATCGGTTAACGTCATTTAATTGATTGGGGTACAAGTAAGGGTCGAAGTGCATCATGCCAGGAGAAAGAAATCAACATTAGACAAGACATCATAGCACCTCCCATTTCACATCTATTAATACTCATATTTAACTAATATAGCATTCACTCTAATCCAACATATCCCGCCTTCTCCAACATTTGGACGACCGATTTTGTTGGCTCCGAGGGAATAGAATTAGAAAAATTCCGATGAGGGGAAGATTAATCAATCGTCATTCACATATAACTATTTGGTCAATTCAAAAGACGACTGTTAAAGAAATCGGAAATTTCGACTCTTACAGTTCGGACGGAAATATTTGGTCATCATGACGAAAAGAAGCTACCTATTTCTTAGTCGGGAATTACAATAAAAAAAAAAAAAATTATCCCATCTGATATACTAATTTGTATATATCCTATTTCATCATCAAAATGTGACAGTGATAAACTCGGATATCACCAATATATTAAATCGATCACATAAAAAAAAGTCCGGATAAAGTTATTACCTAATATAAAAAAATCCATTATATCATCATTACCGCTACAAGTTTATCATCACATAAATTTTATCAGTTAATCAAACAGTGACTTCTTTTTAAAGACGATTGCTATTTTATGTATTAAATGAGTTATTGTATTAAAAATATGTGTCAGATTAAAGGTTATTTTCAAAATTATTAGTTACTAGTTATTTGATCTCTACAATGTGTACCTTATTACTTACTCTAATTATTTTATATGTAATAAAATCTTTGTGGTTTTAAAGTTTTTTTTTTTTTATATTGCTGACCCTACTATCGTTGAATATCATTAATAAAATAGTCCTGATATGAATTTATATAATGTTTCAGTTCTCTCGAAAAAATACAAAAGGGAGCCACTTTCTTCTCTTCGTCCCCTCTGTTTTAAAGCAAAACTCGTACGCAAGTTTCCAGAATCACGAATCCGCAGTTTCCTGATTCTTACCGAATATTTATAACTCAATATCAAATATCACTTGTGCGTATTACAATTGCATTTATATATTATATATATATACATACACTATACAGTGGGATCTCTTTTTATTTATTTATATATATATATATATATATATATATAATTTTGGTATTATATATATACAGCATATTTAAACGATATATATAACCACAAAAAACTTATTCTTCTCAAAAAAAAAAAAAAAAAAAAAAAAAAAAAGAACGTTTTTAGTTTGTTTTTTTTTTTAATGAATAAACCTTTTTTTTTTTTAGTTAGATTTTTTAGACATTAAGACAACCCAATTTATATAAAACCATCAAAAAAAAAAAAAAAACCAAAGTACAAAAACTTTTAAGCGACTTTAACGAAAAGTGTTAGTTCGTAGATTTCGATCGTTTTGTATTCTCACACTCGCAAGATTTTCCAATACTCGATAAAATCCCCGGTGATCTCGACGGTGAATTAAGAAAGGTTTTCTTGTTTTTCTCCAATACGACCTTGCTAGTTTGTTCAACTTCGTGCACGACAAATCCAGTGGAAGGAAACATTTCGCGTTTATTTCCTTCTTAAAAGATCATTATAGCGATAAATTTTGATGTAAATTTCATTTTCTTCTAATCTTTCAACACTGTCTCCATCGATATCTTCAGTAGATTAACAAAAAAAAAAATTTTTTTTTTTTTTAAATTTTTAATCCATCCTCAATGATTCCACGATAGTCTTAATCAATATCGAAGTCTCCCCTCCATACCCCCAGCACATTCTCTTCCATGTATCAAACAGCCGCCGCTCCTCAATATCAACCACAACAACCCTTCGCCGTGTACGGGAATACACATATAACCTACACTTCTAACCCTCATCACTCCAGGAATTCGTCGACGTCATCAATATCTAGGCATTCCCCCCAGGACGCTTCTTTCGCGCTAGAGACGAACGGATACACGCAACTCAGCTATCGTTTCGATCCCAATACAGCTGCCAATACGATGACCACTCAGGACGTTTCAAAGTCGTCCCCTCTCCAACAAAATCATAATTCACCGAGTTTGATCCAGGCCGGATCGTCACCTTCCTCCTCAGTTACCTTGTCTCCGGATAATAGTTCGAACGTTCTTCCGCCTATATCTGAAGTGTTTTCATCATCTTCGGCACATAACGGACAGTCAACATCATCCTCGGGTTCACCAATTCAATCTCAAGTTGTTCCCCAACAACCTCAAGTGCAATCTCAGCAGCAGCCGAATGGGGGTAACATCACGATGCCGTCGACAGCCTCTGCTCATCCCAGCTACTTCTACTCCGATGTGAACGCGGCCGCGGCTGCAGCTACTTTCGCCGCTGCAGCTCACGCACAACAAGTTGCTGCGCAACAAGCCGCCGAAGGCGCCAACTTTTCTACTTCGATAGTTTCACAAAGTCAGTCATCCCAGTTAGCGTCCAATATCCCGGTGGTGGATCCCAGAACTCTCCCAAGGGTCAGTGCCAATGCTTCAGATATGCAAGCCCTTTCTAATCGCAATGGTTCCTCCATGCTTGCTATAAACACTGCTGGATTAAGCGTTGGTGCGGGAGACCCTAGTCCAATGAGCGCCAATTCTTCGACAGGATCCCCGATAATGCCCACCCTCAGCTACCATCCGAGTGCTCACCATCAAGCATTGCTCAATAGTCACTTCATGGCCGCCACCCAATCTATGAACAGCGCTGCTGGCTTGATAGCACCAACTCAACGTCTTTCAGCGAACCACAACCGAAGAAACACTCGTTCGGATGATGGTAGCGACATAAATTCCGTGTCTAACGGTGAACGTCCTCAAAAGGTATACTCGTTCGTGGCCCTACCAGGAATAAACACCAAGAAGAGACCCCGCCGTCGATACGACGAAATTGAGCGCCACTATGCTTGTAATTTCGCTGGATGTACGAAGAGTTACGGCACTCTCAATCACTTGAACGCACACGTACAGATGCAGAAGCATGGACCCAAGAGGCATCCTTCAGGTACGTCTCCCGAAAAAAAAAACCAACAGAAGATTGACATTTATTATCATTCATTTTCAAATATTCATCATCGATTTTTTTTTTTTTTTTTTTTATTTAGAATTCAAAGAGCTTCGAAAACAATGGAGACGACAAAAACGTGAAGAGGAGGAACGAAAAAATGCAGAAAGTGCCGCTGCAAAGAACTCCGCGGCTGGCCTTAACATAACGTCTCTTTCTTCGATATAAAAATGATTTTTGAGGTCCCCGGAATCTGAACAATCTTTTTTCAATCATCACCCATTTAATTTTCCTCTCGAAGAAAAAAAAATTAATAATAATTACATAAGCAATATGATAGGAAAAATTCATATACAGTACATATGACGGACAATTTGATACTAAAATTTTTCTTCTGGTGCTTTATTTTTCTTTTTCGTGAGTATGGGTTTTTTCTTTTTATTCGGGGAAAGAAGGTACGCGATTGGCCTAAGAAAAAAAAAGAGGTCATCCATGTATATATCTATATATCCTTTCTACTCTAAGGCCACTCAAGTGTCTAACTTTCCTCGCTACGAGAAAACAAAAAATATTTTTTTTTGGCGTTTTTATTCTACATTGTTTTACTCACGAAATAGATAGACTACGAAAGAGAATAATAATGCAATATCATCAAACGTAGCGAACCCTATTTATTCCTAATACTTATTGCATTTATGTTACATCTTTTTTTTTTCTACGAAGTAAGATACAGATATAGCACCAAATTTCTTTCTTTTTACACACAACATCAATAAATTTAATTTTTTAATCTTTAGATTTCCTCTCAATTCATGTTTCATTCTTTATGATTTCATAGTATACTTTTTTTTTTTTCCTTCTCGTCAATTCTTCAGGTAATTTCTGTAGATTTTTTTTTTTTTTTCCTTTTTTTTTGTCATTCTTATTCTGTAAAAATACTTCTTTTCCTCTTTT